GTCCCCCGTAATAGACGCGAAAAAATACACTGACCAAAAACAAGCGACGGGTAATTCCCCGTTCCGTTCGATAGACGCGCACATGCATGGGTTGATTGATCTCAGGGTTGCCAACCTTATAATATATATATTTTTTAATATTAGATATTTTTTTAATTCAAAATATCACCTATTGTTTTCAGTGGGGACTGGGGCCCTTTGTATCCACGGGGCCCTGGGCTGCAGCCCAAAAAGCCCTTAAGTAGATCCGCCCCTGTTACTATCTATTAGTATTATAAACATTTAGATGTCTTGGTGAACAGAAGTGATTTTTCGAAATAACTTTAAATTGGGTATACTATAGCCTACGTCACAGGTTGTGTCATTCCTACTAAATTTAACCCATGAACGGCATTTTCTGCGAGCCTAACTTCAAGCCACAAATAAACAAACGAAGTGTTTGATCGTTTAAATAGATGCTCGCCAGATTTTATTGCATTATAAGGAAAAGTAATTGATATTCGATTTTTGATTAATAATTGATTTATGTGGATAGTGGCATTTATGTGGATAGTGGCATAGAATTTAGCATTGCGTCATGGTAAATGTTATTCCTACTAAGTGGAAGTAGTTGTGTTTTTTTTATATTATACCCAATTGGGGATACAAAAATATTTAAAGGAAAACAATACCTTTTGTTAATTTTATGCTGATTACAACCAAAATAATATTTAAATGAATGAGGAAGAACTGGATCCTACCTCGTGACTTTTAGGCCAATAGAAATGCACGGACAATAATAGAAAACTGTGACACCATCATTAGACATAATCAAAATAAAATAAAAATCGCCACTCAGCTTTAGCTGGTAAGTTTAGTCGTAACATTTTAGCAAGCGGCATTATTAAAAATTATTACCTTTTCACACACATGCGGTCTCAATTTTAATTGGCTGTTTTGTGCGTTACTAACCGCAAATCTTCTGTGATTGGCTGCTTGTTACCATTTCACTCTCTTCTTATATTATATAAATATATGCATTAAACATCAGGAATATATGTAGCTTCGGCGGTGAAGAGACTTTCTTTATTTATACTTGTGACAAAAATAAGCATTTAACTGCTTGAATCCATAAATCAAGTATTTAAAGATATCTGCGTTTTTAGACTTAGAGTCTAACAATGATGGATTCATAAGGATCGTTGAAATTTCACTCATCGTTTTACTCCCATCAGAAAGCGATCTCCATTCAACTTCAATTTTGAATAAATCAAAGACTTTTTTTATTTATAAATAGATAAATAAAATAAAAATACCACTTAACATTTCAGAAGTAGGTGATCGAATGACTGCCAACCCTGAAAATATCTTTCTAACTTCTCACGTTGCATAACACAATGCCGTTCGATAGACGGAAATACGAAAATTAATTCACAAAAATAGAGTACGACGTAGGGCGAAAAGCTTCTTGAGAGTAGAAAATACACTGAAGAGCCAAAAAAACTGGTACATCTGCCTAATATCGTGTAGGGCCCCCGTGAGTACGCAGAAGTGCCGCAACACGACGTGGCATGGATTCGATCAATGTGTGAAGTAGACCATGACACCATGAATCCTGCAGGGCTGTCCATAAACCAGTGGGAGTAAGAGGGGGTGGGGATATCTTCTGAACATCACGTTGCAAGGTATCCCAAATATGTTCAATAATGTTCATGTCTGGGGATTTTGGTGGATTTCCGATACTTACGGTATACTCGTGAAATGGTCGTACGTGAAAATCCAAATTTCATTGCTATCTCGGAGATGCTATGTCCAATCTCCCGTGCGCCGACTATAACACCACGTTCAAACTCACTTAAATCTGTATAACCTGGCATTGTAGCAGCAGTAACCGATCTAAGAACTGTGCTAGACACTCGTTGTCTTATATACGCGTTGCCGATCGCAGCGCTGTACTTTGATTGGCTCCATACCCCCTCTATTTGCATACTCACGCCTGTACCAGTTTTTTTGGCTCTTCAGTGTATATAATCACACATCAGTGGTCGGAAAAACTACGTTATTTTTGTAGTTAACTACAGCTGTTGTATTACAAATGTTGTTAACTTTATTATACAGTGAAACCACCAGGAAAGACCACCTCTATGATACAACCTACTCTATTTACGACCACTTTAGGGAGGCGCGGAATTTTTTTCATAGATTTTGTGTTGAAGAAAACCTTTAGGAGAGACCAAAAAAACCTCTTCCAGCGATCTAGCAATTCTTCACTTCAAAAGCAGAAAAGGTTAATTAAGGAAACACGAAAAAATATCACATCAAAAAATAATAACAAAACAAATAAGTAGATTAAAATGTATGTGAGTGGCTCTTTTTTCGAGAGGTATTTTTGATGATATCTGAAAGATATCTTCAACCACATGTGGCAGTCAGAGTGCACTAAAGACCATGATATCAATGTTTTTTTTAAGAGTTAAAAGTTAAATTAAAAGAAAAAGTTATTAAAAAAAATCAAGCATCTTAAACACACAAGCTTTAAGGCTAGCTAATTTTTATGATATAAAATTAAATGCAGACTTAAACGAAAAAGCATAATTGCTCATTTATTAAAAATAGTTCTATCTTTCATTATTGGTAAATTTGGTTTTACACATAATTATATCAGTAGGGATCATTGACTAAAGTTTGTTCATTTATCCGGTTTTCATGATGCCAATACAAGTAGCATTTTCGCACCAATAAAATGACACAACTAAAATTAAAATCGTCTTCTCAAAATCATGTCCCTTAACATTTTGAAGTCAAAGGAGGTAATCCCTAAGAACAACCAACCTCCATTAGCAACCATCTTATTGTGGAACAGAAAGTGATCGCTCCCAAGAGGTTTCACTGCATATAATATTTTCTCCTGTTTTACATATGTTTTTTTTCAGGCATATATTGCATGTTTTTGGGGTGTTCATCATGTTGGCATTGTTACCCTTTTTTTCGGTATCGGCGGAGCTATCATCTCTCTATTCGTGGGACCATTGGCGAAGTACATCTCTCAGATAGCCGTGATAATTTTAGGAGCATGTCTTAATGTAGCTATCTGTTTGTTGTTATTTCTATGGAAACCATCGCCAGAGACAACTGGCATTTACTTTGTCATCGCAGGAATATGGGGAATGGGAGATGCCATTTGGTGGTCACAAATACCAGGTGAGCGAATTCAAGAAAATGCTTGTAATGTTTAGAAAAAAATAAGAGAATAACAGCAATCATTTTATTCCTTTGAAAAAATAAATTAAATTAATGCTTTTATTCTTAGCATAACATGTTTTTTTACCCCTGAAATTTTAAAGTTTTCAAAATGTCTAAATATTTAAGTTGTTCAGCTCTTAATTTCATTTTAATATATATGATAGAGACAATTTGAAAGTTTGAGCCATCCCGTTTATAAATTTGATCTATTTTTATAGGTCTTTTAGATCTAACACTTTTTGCAGCTTTTATTGCTAAAACCAGAACTTCCAGTTTTTACAGAGATTAATCTTGATCATAATTAATTTAGTTTTGATAAAGTTATTTTTTTCTTAATTATTTGCAATATGTAATACATACGCTTATTTGATTTAATTTTGGACAAAAACTGTAAAATTATAAATTAAGAGCAATGATAACGAGAAACTCTATATATATGGGCTATATAGTATGGGCTATATCTATTATAGTAAGAGCCTGAAGTCTGATAAGTCCTGAGTTTTATCGATAAAACTTAGGGTTTACCAAAGTGGCTAGTTAACTTCTACGTTTTATAGCTAAGGCTTGGTAAAAGGCAGAAAAGGAATCATAATAAAACTTTCTTCGGATTTTTACGAAGCCATTTTGGTAAAAGCCGATAAAACGTAGGATTTAGCAGACTTCGGGTTTTCATCATAACATATGTATTCAATATTGTTCCTTGTATTCAATAAACAGTGTATTGGTTAGTTTTATTTAATAGTTTCTGTTCTTTATTCTAGCCCTCTACGGACTGATGTTTCCAAAAGATAGAGAAGCTGGATTTTCAAACTTATATTTCTGGAGCTTTTTTGGATCTTTTCTAAGTTACACTTATGCTAATTACCTTTCCATTTCTGTCAAAATAAATATCCTGATGGCATCCCTACTGATTAGTATGGCCTGTTACCTAGTAGGCCAGTTCAAGATGAAATGTTCTGCGCGGAGAGAATATATTGCAATCGGAGATGATTAATGATAGCAAACATTTTAGAATCTCAAAACTTGATGCTTATCAACATTATTGTACATAGAAAAAGAGCTTGTAAATAACGATACTTGGTGTGACATTAATAAAAACAAAAATCACCAAATTCCTCGTATTTATTACCGTGTTATAGTATGCTTAAAACATGGAGCATTTAGGTTTCAAATTTAGGCTAATAGCATCACTTTTGAGCAGTGTATATGTTACCGAAATTATTTGTTCTACAGACTATCTAGTTTATGTGCAGATTAACTAGAGTGATTCATTAAAGAGCCGAAAATTGTTTTATTTCCTGAATTACCTAGGTAGGTAGCAAGGTAGCACATTACCTACTAGGTACACATTAAAGTGAAAATAAGATATTTTCTAGATCTTAAATTAACAGAATATTTTTCATACTTGAAATGCTTAAATTAATGTTTTTTTCCCCATTATTTATGGAAATTAATTTATTGAATTAATATTTATTTCTTTTTCGATATCGAAAGAATCAAGCTATGACAATCAGGCAATCAACAAATTTGTTAATGCTGATGGATTGAATCATCAATCTCTAAGAACTACAATACAGAGAATCAAACAGATTAAAATATTATTAAAAGTAAATAAGAATTAAATACATAATTTGAATATTTACGACAATATATATTCTCATAAAACAAATTTGGTTAAAACCCCTTACCATTCAGAGCTTTCTTTTAAATTTTACGAAAACTGCTTAGAAAATTGCTATTTTTTCAAAATTTTTTTCAAGATATTCAATTCAGACTTTTTTTTCATAAGTTACCGAATACGATTCAAAACAAAATTATGACAAAAATTAAATTTTTTCCGCTCATGAACAGTATGAAAGGCTTATTTTAAGTGCCAATATCTTGGGCAGTTTTTAACGAATTGTTTTCATACTGAAAAATAATATTTTTGTTATTAATTAAAAATCACTCCAAAATGTTGCTTAATTTTATTAAATATTGCTATAGCTATAGTAAGAAAACATAAAGCAAAAAATATTTTTATATTTTTTTGGTTATTTATTTTTGTAAAAATGTTCATACCTTCATGAATGTATGGAATAATTTTTGTGCAGTTATTGCATATGATAACCAAATAAAGTTACAAGCTTATATTGCTATATTTTTGATACGAAAACACCTTTATTACCGGTCACTCAAATCTCTGAAAATTTTAAACTTTTTATTGATGCATTTGAGCTACCGCATGATCTAAACACCTCTCAGGTTCATTATAAAATAAAATAATTCTCTAAGTATTTCTGAAAAAATTTGAAAAAATGCCAAAAACTACGAGTAAAATTGTCACTATCATTATTGTACGGCTGTATATATTAAGTGTAATTATTGGTATTAAAATTTTTTAAAACTCTTATAAGAATATGAAATAAAAGTATAAAAAAGTATGAATGTGAAAAGTTCCTTTTCGCAAACTAATGCTTGTATATTAATTAATTTTTAAATAATATTTAATCATACCAATATTTAATTATATCATTAATATTTAATTAATTAAATACTAATTAATTAATAATAATAAATAAAAAATAATAATAATTAATTAAATAATATTTACTTAATTAAATAATATTTCAATAATTAATAATATTTAATTCAGACTCAATTTGGTAATGGAGTTTTTTTCCCCAGTGGTTTTTTTCTAATGCTTCATTTTCCTTTACTCTTTTTCAGAGCTATTTTTCCGTAACCTATGAAAATAACAATTCTCAAGCATGACGAACACTGTTTGTTATAAGTTAAATTTTGATTAGTGCCCTTTTCGTAGAGCAATTTGAGACAAGTTAATGTCGTTGCCAAGTAAAAAAAAAAAAAAAAATCGAAAAATTTGAGGAATAAGAGAAATAGTTGATTAAGTGAAGTGGTTATATAGAATTTTCTAAAAAATGGTAAGACGTTTTTTTTTTTTTTTTTTTTTTTTTTTTTTTTTTTTTTTTTTTTTTTTTTTTGTATTTCTTTATTTTATATTTGTGAAAATTTTTTTCGTCTGCCCTGCTAAGATTTTTTACCTCTTCACTTTTAGAGATACTTTCTAATTCTTTGTAAAGTGTTACCAAAAAACTGAAGACTTTAAAACTTAGATTTTTCTTAGAACTCCCATCTTTTTCGGATCTAATAAAGATGTAATAAAAATTATTCCTCCATCTCTCCCCCCCCCAAAAAAAACAACAACATTTATTTACAACTATTCTTTCAGTCCAACCAACCCATTGGTTATGAATGATTCTCTTTATGTTGTAAATTTTGAGTTGAAGACGTAATGAACTTGTATGGTAAGAATAACACTAAAAAAAAAGTTATCTCTCGCGGACTGATAATTTTAAAATGTAAGTAACTAATCAAAAAAGTTCTCGTCTTCTCTAACTAAACCACTAGTTATTACTTGATTTAGATACTTCATAGAGTTCGAAAATAAGTAGATAGAAATAAGTAGAATACATATCCAAAATATTTTTATTTGAACCCATAACTTTGTGCCAAATATCCAAACATAGACATCAG